ATATATGTATAATGTGTAACATAAAAGCTATCATTTAAGCCATTTTTAAGTGCACATTAAGGCACAAGATTTGGGAGTATGCATCCCATAGGCTGGCCAGCAACCTTCAATATGATTGAGGTTCTTCGTGCTACTTCAGGCGGGATGGTCAAGTTTTCTTCTCAAGTTCCTTGTGAGAGAAAGCAAACGCATGAGCCCTTATTGCTGCCTTAACTGTTCCCTTTGGTCAGAGGACAAATACTAGAGAGAAGCTGGTGAAGCATCTAAACATGCCCCTCCTTTATTTAGTCACTAATCATCAATTACTTGGTATGAAGGTCTTTAAATTAAATAGTAATTTTTTTGCCAAATTACTCATTCACATGGTTCAAATGTTAAAAAAAAATCTCAAAAGGATGCCAATTCCTCATCTCTCCCAACAAAGGACAAGCATTACTAGATTTTTTATTTCTGTTTTTTTTTCCTTCCAGAGATTTTAAAGCATGTAGAATCCAAGGCAAATACTTATTCTTCTGCCCGACTTTTATCATAAATGGTAGCATATTATGTACATTGTTCCACACCTTGCATCTTTCACTTAATATATTTGGAGAGCTTTCATGATGAGTTTTTGATCATCACAAACAGTAAGAAATCAAGACTTCTGATGGGAGTAATTTTTTAAAAGTATTTAGTTATTACTTGATGACTAATGTGTGAGTCATTTATAATCAGTGTCTACCAGAGCACACAAAAGTTCACAGCCTGAACACACCTGGGTGGAAAGAGACCCCGTCTCTACCTGAATTACGAGGCAATTGTGGTTGATTAGAGTGGATCTAAAAATACATGGCCCTTTCCCTCTTCCATCAGGGACATACTCCTTTGTATTTTGATCCCAACTTATTTTCAAAATCAGCATAGCTGTGGCTTGAACTGCTTCACAGACACTTCAAAAGTGAGGCAGTGGCTCAGAAAGATGAGAAATGGCTCCGTGGAGGCCAATCTGTATCCTAGAAAACTGACAGACCTCTCTGGGGAGTAAATGAGGAGCACCTGAAGGTGAGAACCGTTCACTAGAACACGAGGTTGTGGCAGATCCTGAATCAGTCGACCAGCTCCTCCAAGCCAAATGCATCATTAATCAACAGGGAAAGAAATCACCTCCCCTGAGCGATGGGTATTGCGGGAAACTGGATTCAACTGCGGGAAAATCCACTTCCCCACCGTAGGTGGGCTATTCCTAAGCAGAGCTTATGATGATTGTCAGCTGGACGGCTCAGGATACACCTTGAAGGTGAATGGAATTAACTGCATCAAAGGAAAGAATGGGGTACAGAGAGGGAATATTGAGTATGAAAAGGGACGGAATTTGATAGCTCCCAACTGGTGAAACTCTCCTCTTGACCTTATGTGGAGAAGAAAACTAAGAAAATTGGAAAGTTTCATTTTTGCCTCAAACGTTCCATCTGTGGGCTTCTATGATAATATTCACCATCACCTATTAAATTATCCTCTCCTTGTCAAATTATCATGTGAGCCAGACCACCAGCTATCTCATTCCACCAGCCTCCCTTCATTCATCCATGGCATCTCGGCCCTCAGTCCTTTGATTGAAATAGATCATTCTGAAATGACCCATCTCCCTTCAGTTCTAATGAACTGAACAGGCTTCCTACAGGTGTGCACATCCTAACCCAGCGTGGACCCCGACCCCCAGGTTCTGTTCCCATCTCGGATGAAGGGAGCCCGCTGCCTTGTTCTGCAAACCTGCGTGCCTCTCCTTCCAGTCTTCCTCTGGCATGCTCAAGAATTTGCAGAATTTTAATATCTTCCCCAGATGTCCCACAACTGTGCCAATTAATGTTTTAAAAATGATCTATATTTTATTCCTTAATTCCATTAACAAATTTATGACTGAACAGACTTGTGGGTTTTTAACCAGAGAAAGAGAGTGCGATCACTAGAAACTGTCGCAACATATTCTTAAACCTCTAGTGAGAGCAGTTGGTTGGAGGTGCAGTGCCTGCCTGCGGATGATGCCTGCCTGGGGATAAAGTCATCTGTGCCACCTGCCCCGAAGCCCTGGCACAGCTCGAGGCGGGGAGACCACTGGGGTTTGTGAGCGCATTGTTTTGGAGAAAGATAATGTGGCAGGAGGTTGTTATTTAATAACCAGTTGCATTCTGAGCTGGAGAGTTAATCGCTACCATTCAGCAGTGATCGCTCCAGGTGAGAGGAGCGCTGCTTCACATTGGAGAAAGTTTGGAAGACAGAAAGCTAATGGGGCTGACGCAGAGGAAGCTTGACAAGAATGCCGTTTGCAGTTCCAATTGTGTTGGAGCATCAGTGTCTTCCTTTGAGTTGGGTGCTTTCAAGGTGGAAATTAAAACAAAACAACTTGATACTGGGGACAGCCCCTTTCTGGGCTTTACCTGTCTGTCATGTTTGAAAGTTTTTACCATCAGCCTGTCTAATTTTTGTAATTAGAAAAAGCAATTGACATTCTTTAAAACAACAGAAAAAATTTGTTCTTGTTTTATCATTCTTGCTTTTCGCCTAGCTCTGTAGATAGCAGTAGCAGCTCAGGGTTCAGGGATGTTTACCCGACGGTGGTAAACAGCAGATTTTTGCTTTTACTTTCTGACTTGGGAGAGATGA